TGCGCAGCAGCTTAATGAGTATCGGGAAACATTCAAACCCTGCCATTGGCCCTCGTTTTCATCACAGTCGGAGGCATCGGAAGGGTCGCAGGAATTAGGAAGCTCGTTTGTCGTGGGAGAGGAGTTATCGTTCGTATCACAAATTAGCGTTAAGTTAGATTCTGGTACAGATGATTCGACTATAATCCCCTCAGATATTAAAACTCCTATACCTGTTAACATTTGGCCGCGCAGCCAAACGGCCAAATGAGCTGCTCAAGATTCTTCTTCAGGTATGCGCACAAGAAGTCGGACGCCTCTTAGGGAGGTATCGGGAAACCAGGAGAAAGGGCAGATTACCAGACAAGATAGGTCGAATACACCTAAACGAGCTGGTCTTCGTACTCATGTACAGTTGACGCCAAAAGGGAGGGATCTATGGGGGAAGAGTGGAAATTAGAACACAAAGATTTGGAGGTGCTTTGGCTGGGAGAACTTCGGATAATTAGAATATACATCGCTTGAGAGGAATGACGTAGTCACGTGATACGAAGTTCGGCACGCAGGATCAGAACCATAACATGTAGAGTGTTTGGATTGGTCCTAAAACTTGATGAAATGTAGAAGTCAACGCGTACGATCAATTTCTGAAAACAGATTAGCGATAGCCTTTCCGGATCAAGCACACTTAGCGATGGGAGTTCCCTCACCTATATCATGATTTGATACTCGACACATCCACACAAACTATGCAGGAGTCTCTCAGACGGCAGTGGTGCCCTCTGCCTTCAAGGCGCATGATTGGTCAATATTTAGTGGCGTGTGCTAAAGAAGAGGCTGGGCTTCATTGGGTATAGCGGAGCCCCATAATGGCCAGGGGGCACCATTGCCGCCTGAGTCCCAACTGAGATAAGTCGCTTCCCTAGCGTTACGGAACATATCATGTGACTCTAGAGACTTGCTGTTGAAATGCATGAACATGTTCTGATACGCTGACTTCGGCGCCTTGGACATCCTCTTTGCAGGTCATAGAAGCCATTCCTCGTATCAACACTCCGTATTTCTGCTCATAAGCGGTCCTCATTTTGATACTCCTTCTTCCCAGAAGCTTTCCACTCAAAGGCCCTCCGGTCATAGCAAATGAGCATATGCCCCGGGATTTCACCGTCAGTGGTTATCGCGACGCCGAAGGCTGCAGATGCGGGATGGTCCTCCACGAACCCTAAGCGGATCGATTTGCTACGAGTCCACGACCAACTTCGCGGCTGGAGCCCGCCACGGTCTCGATGGGCCCGCCCCACGTGAACATGATTGGGGAGGTGGTTGGTTCACGATGCTTGGCATACTCCATTGAATCCCGACGGCCCAATCTGTGCGCGATCGCTGCATCCCTCTAACAGGCTCAGATCCCGATCATTTTACATCTATCGACTCGTTTTGACGAGCGCTTTCCAGTGATGAACTGTTCGTTATGATTAGACGCGTTCCCCTTGTGCTACAAACAAACTATTGACTCGCCTGCCCAGATCAGATCGACCCCCCACCATTTACCCCAGTACCCCAGTACCCCAGTACCCCACCCCACCCACTAGAGTACCCCAGACCCCTGGTCTTCCACGCGCACGGGCCGCATGCAAACCAAGATATAGCCCAAGAAACAGCGGCAGGCCGTATGGGCCCTGCGATACGGAGTAGAATAACTAGAAGGTGGTATGAAATCCCTAAACCTCCTTCAAAGTCTCCGGATCAACCCTCAGTATATCCTCCGCGTCATTCTCATTCTGGATCAGAACCTTGCCTCGTTCCGCAGCCCCAATGACGATGTAGTACTTGTCTTCGTAGCGCACTCGGGTGCCGGACGGGAACTGTTGCCTAGGTTAGTATTGTTGAGTTGAGCAAGCATGGATAGGTATAAGAATGGGGGTAAATAGTGGAGAGATGTGAAAGGAAAGGAGGGAAAGGGCGTACGTCCATAGTGTATTTTGTAAGTAACTATAGAGAAGTAGGTAGGTGCTGAGGTTTTGGTAGAAAGTAAGTTTGTTGGTTGTTGAGAGGGCTAAGGAAGGTTAGAGAATATGAGAAGGGTGAGTGTTGGTAGGTAGAGATTCGTAGATAAGCTGGGTGGAATTCGAGGATGAGGATAGGTAGGATGAAAAGGCTGCCAGAGATCGGGGGTTATTTGGGATGTACGGAATGTTTATATAGGAATACCGGCAAGGCTGACAAGGGGGGACTAAGTGTGTCAACCTGAGGGCGAGGCTGAAAAATGATACAACCAGTAAGAGCCTGGAGTCGAGGAACGAGGCTGTAGAAAAACTCGAGCTATTATAGCGCTCCTCAGTATACGTAATTATTGCGTACGATGAGGCAGTGGATGTGTCAAGCAATTCATGAAGGAGGGGCAAGGGCAGAAAAAGATCCGACTAATGAGGCAGGAAACCTCTATTCTGAGATTCCTATGGCGTTGAGAACCCGTGTTATATTGAAAGAGAATCTCTGGACCGAACGAAGCCTGGTGACCGGTGCGATGGGGAGTTCGCGCCTAGCCTAACCTATGTGGTAGCCTCCCCTATGAAAATCCTTAGAGAGATCATGTTTAAGACTCCATTCGACTTACAGGATTTGAACCGTCGCACGGAGAGCGAGACGATGGCCTTCCGGAAGCAGAATGCGCATAGGAGGGAGAATCAGTATATCACGGCAGAGTTTTGTTCATATTATTCGAATTAATCGCGCGGTATTGACATAGTGTAGGATCTCCGACGGGCAGTCGGATCGTCATCTTCAATTCCGCTTCCTTCACAGGCGGAACGGTAGGGACGGAGTTCATAGCTGGGTTGCGTGGATGCGGAGGATTTCCGGAAGGCGGAGAGTGAGTGCTGTAGGCAAGGTGGTTAGGTGGCGCGAGATCAGGATCAAACATCACTGTACGACCAGACGACCAGATGAGAAAAGGGTATCATTTGATTTCATAATTAGGAAGTATATATTGATCGCCAAGATGCTGTTTTTCGAGCGATTCAACTATTTCCTCCGCATGATTAAGAATATTTGATTAATAATCCTATGAAGGTGATCCTCTAGCAAGACAGAGATCACGTGCTAGCTACGCTCGTGATGATTTGGGGCAGAAAGGTTGCCTTTATGCACCACAGGCCTATTTTAAATGTGTATGTATGTTCCCAACAGAAGCTATTCGGTATCATACCTACTAATACCTAGTAAGCAAGGCATTCGAAGCCACATGGACATAAGTTCGAATCGGATGTTCGGCGCAATCCACCCCTCAACCACCCTTGCATCCCCCACACTAACATGCAGAAGGCTGTAACTACGGCAGACCAGCCTGTTCGTAATATTTCGTGCTCAGTTCCGCCGCAACTCGCAAGGCAAAATTGAAGAAAAATCGGCTGGTTGTTGGGATTACTACTATTAATATAATCATTGTCCGTCTGCGCATTTAAGTCTTGGCTCTTTTCCTTTGATATCTGGTCATTGTTATTCAATAGCATCTACGGAATACCATTAGTTCTGTTAGCAGGGCCTCATTTCTCTCTCCACCTTCGCTCATCTGCATGACCATAAGACATGGATCCTTGGCTTCTCAGCCGCTGGGAGCGGTTGAGAGAGCTTCTTTAGACCATCTGTTGGGTGACGAGGAGGACGTCCCCAGCATTGCGTCCTTTTCGGATGGTGAATACGACCCAGTCGCGGCATCACACCCATCAACTCGGTCTCATCACGACTCTAGGAATTCAGAGAATGATAGGCATTTCGCTAGCACCAATGGCCTGCTCCCACCACAGGAACTACCAGCAATAGCATCGGAAGAACCCCTCATGCGGCCCAGCGATGCAAAGGAGCCCAAGGTAACATGGCGCGCCCTCCCGCGAAAAGACCAACTCCTCCTCCTCACCCTCACCCGGCTCTCCGAACCCCTCACCCAATCGTCTCTCCAATCCTACATGTTCTACCAGCTCAAGTCCTTCGACCCCTCCCTGCCGGACAGCGCGATCTCCGCGCAGGCCGGCATGATGCAAAGCGCGTTCACCGCCGCGCAGTTCCTCACCGCGATCGCATGGGGGCGCGCTGCGGATAGCGAGTATATGGGGAGGAAGAACGTCATCATGATCGGGCTGTTAGGCACGTCGATTAGCGCGCTGGGGTTTGGGTTTAGTAGGCATTTTGCGACGGCGGTTGCGTTTCGGTTGGTGGGGGGGGCGTTGAATGGGAATGTTGGGGTCATGCGGACGATGATCTCGGAGATAATTAAGGAGCGGCGGTATCAGTCGAGGGCGTTTATGATCTTGCCGATGACCTTCAACATTGGGGTAAGTGACACTCGCTTCTCGGGTTTGATCCTGTGCGTTGGACTGACGGTTGTAGGTGATCATCGGCCCTGTTCTAGGTGGCCTCCTTGCCGACCCTATCAATTCGTATCCCCAGTTGTTTGGTCCCAACTCGCGGTTCGGGGGTACGGATGGCGTAGGGTGGATGAGAACATGGCCTTATGCGTTACCGAACATCGTTAGTGCTATGTTCCTCTTCACCGCTGTCCTTTGCGTCATCTTGGGCCTTGAAGAAGTGAGTATGATCCGTCCTCTTTCGCCAGCGACAGCCTCTAACTTGGATAGACACACGAGGTGCGTCGACAGAAGCGCGACAGAGGCCTTCATTTCGGTAGATTCCTAAAGCGGGTGATCACTTGCCGACTCGGCAGGGCAGAGCATCAGTATAGCTCCCTGCCAAACACCTCCAGTTTTATATCCGACGCCTACGAAATCGAGGATGTGGAGCTCCAGAATAATTCATCATCTCACCCCGACCAAGGCCCCGGCGTGACATCCAAACCCCCCTCCAAACAACGTCTCCCCTTCTCCCGAATCTGGACCCGCAACGTCATAACCACCCTGATCTCCCACGGGATCATGGCCATGCACGTCGGCACCTTCAGCAACCTCTGGTTCGTCTTCCTCTCCACCTCGCGCTGGGACCCCGCCCATCCCTCCCCCCCCTCCCACACCGCTCAGCGTTTCCCCGTCAACTTCACCGGCGGCCTGGGCCTCCCCCCCGCGAAGATCGGCCTTGCCCTGTCGATTCTGGGATTCATCGGCATCGTGCTGCAGGTGTCGCTCTACCCCTATCTGAGCGGGACGTGGGGTACCGTCCGCACTTACCGCGGATCGCTCTTCCTCTTCCCGCTGGCGTACCTCGTCACGCCGTACCTCGCGCTGATCCCCAGCACCACGTCTCCACCGAATGCGGCCAGCGGAATTGCCATCTGGGCAGGTATCGTCGCAGTGCTGATCGTGCAGGTGATGGCGCGGACGTTCGCGCTGCCCGGGGGAGTCATCCTGGTGAATAATAGCTGTCCGCATCCGTCGGTGCTGGGGACTTTGCATGGGGTCGCGCAGTCGGTGAGCAGTGCGACGAGGACGATAGGGCCGATCGTGGGAGGGTTGTTGTTGGGGCTAGGGTTGGATATCGGGAAGGTGGGGTTGGCGTTTTGGGTGCTGATGGGGGTGGCGATGGTTGGGGCGTGTGTGGGGCTGTTTGTGAAAGAGGGATCGGGGCGGGAGATTTGGTTGGAGGGGGACGATGATGGGGAGAGCAAATCGGAAAGCGTTAGGTGACATGGCTTTGCTCCCGCTTATGCCTCCGTTGGATTAAGTGGTAGATATCGGTGGATGATACATGAATATACACAGAACCGAGATGGTGTTACGAATAGCGAAAGTCATCATTGGTTCATCTAAACTAAACAAGCTGTGCCTTCTATCCAGTATCATGCTTTTGAGGAGCCTTACAAGACATATAGAAATTGGAGGACACAGTCAACCGCCAAGACCAACTCAACCCAAATCGATACCAGCCCTTGCAGGAGTCAACGGACAAATCCAACTCGACCTAGGACGGGAGTCAAAGATCCGCCCGAACTCAACCAACAAAGACCGGAAGTGAGGAGTCAAAGTCCACTGAGAACACGGTAGGTAGGCAGTGTCGCCATGGACACGGCTAAGACAAAAGCAAATGTGAAAATTCCAAACCATTCCCGGAAACGAAAAGACAAATGCAACCGCAGTTCCATGCCCAAGAACGCATAATAATGAGTAACAAGCCAAGGTTCCTGTGAGCACCCCAGTGCCCTTCCAATGCATCGATTTAACACCGCAACCCAATTTCCCTGCTGTAAACAAACCGCCTAGCCGCAACGGATTTCTCTAATCGAACCCATCGAGCTCGAACTCGTCCCGCTCGAAATCGCCCAGATCCTCATCTAGCGCCTCTTCAATCGTAACGTGCTTCCCCACCGGCTTGACATTCCGCTCTCGCACCTCACTAATGATCTCCTCGGTCTCGTCCGTCTGCTCGTGGCCGTCATTCCGCCCGAGGCCTTCCTGCGCATCGTACAAACGATACACCCAGTCGCTCCGCCGATCGATCTCCGACGCGATGACATCCTGCCGGGCTTTTGAATTTTTGCGGAACCGTCGCTTGCACGCGGGGTCGCAGGAGAGGAAGTCCATGTCTGCGTCGCGGAGGAGGAACTTGAGGTGGTGGATTTCTTCTTCGAGCTCGTGGATTACGCCGGCGAGGGCGGAGCCGGGCTCTTCGGCGGGACGCATGGTGCTGTCGCCTTCTTCGGGGACGTTGGTCTTTTCGACTTGCTTAGCGGTGTGGCCACCGATACCGATGGAGATCAGGAGGCGCCGACATGTTGGGCATGACGCTGTGTCGTGGGAAGAAAGAGCACCGATGATGTCCTGAGATGCTTTGTTTAGGCTGGGTCTGGCCCGGGAGTCGAGGGTGATATCAGGAAGAATGAATGCGGATGTTATGGCATCCGTGTTCCCTGTGGAGTAACGATATCGTTTTCCATCGGTCTTGGACGTGGAGCGCTCATGATTACCCGAGGAGGATCTTGTAGTAGGTTCGACACCAATATTTGAGGCAGCTTTCAAAGCGGATTTGAGACGCGTATTTGACGGCCCGGATTCAAGGGGCTCGGAGGTCGCACGGGTAGTAACCGAGCTTCCCTGGGTCCTAGCATTGATGCGTTCATTTCGGCGTGCTATATGATCCTGCTCCACGGACCTGCGAATTTCGGCGACGGTTGAAGGGGCCACGGAACTCAGCTCGGTGAGATTGTCAGGGTCAACTTCCTCCGTCTCCTCCAGGATCATTGCCCGCTTGCGTGCGAAAGGCGTGGATCCCGCTTTGTTGCGCAGGAGACCGATGTCCGTGGTTGACTCTGCGTCGCTGATCTCATTGTGGCTGTCATCGACTTCCATGCGCTTCGTGGGTGCTAAAGTCCGTGAATGTTGGGCCGGGGCGGATCCGCCTGGGAGATCTCGATACTCCTTAATGAACTCCTCCCTTCTCTTCATCTCGGAAACCACCAGTCGTTCTTTTTGACCCCATTTCTGTGTTTCTTCTTCGTTAGCTTGTCTTGCAGCATCCATCTCCCGCCTCAGCCGCTCTTCACGCGCCTTTCGCATCTCCTTGCTCTCTGCATGTTGGGCTCGCAGTTTCAGTAGTTCGTTTCGAAGATCGTCGTTCTCCTGCATCAAGCGAGTATTGATGTTGCTAGATGCACCGGGTTCAACTTGCAAGGACCTAATCGTTTCATCCCGACGCTCGATCCGGGAGGCCATGTCTCGCTGCTTCCCTTGCCAGCGTTTAAACTCTTGGTCTCGATTTGCCTTCCCGTCTTCTAGTTTCCGACGCAGCTCAAGGTTCTCCTTGTGGAGTTTCGTAGTCTCCTTTCGGTGAAGAGAATGAGTTGGTCGTTCGTTCTCGGCATCAACCCGAACGTCGGATTCATGGGAATGCGGAGCATGACCATTCATGTCCTTGGTCGCTACGAGCTCATCGTGCAATCTCATGTTCTCTTCACGCAATGTTTCGCATTCTCGGTATGACAGGTCAAGCTGCACAGCAATGTTATCACGGTCGTCCGTAACCCGCTTCGTAGTGATGCGGGCTAGCGAGGCCTCTCGTTCGGCTCTGTCGACGCGTCCTTGCAAAGTCTGAACTTGGGATTCTAATCCTATTCACATGGATTAGCTAGATTGATAAATCCTGGTGCACGGCAAGAACGTACGGAATTTCTCAGCTTTCCACCCTTTAGGGCTTCCGTTCATTTCGTCTTCGCTTCCAAGCGCACTGTCCCGACCATTGCGCCTCAGCCCCTGCATTTGAGCTTCTATATTGATCAACTCCCCATCTTTCTGGCGCACTCTGTGCTCCAACTCGCTTTTATCCCGCTCGAGCAGTGCGATGCGATCTTTCAAAGATTCCAGGGCCGAGATGAGCATCCTTTCTTCAGCCGGCAGTGGGATACCCTCCAAGCTAGGATACTCCGCGGCAGACAACCTGTTCTTGTTCATCCTACCAAGATTGCTTTTCGAGTTGATGGCGCCGGTCCGTACGAACAACGGGCGAGTTGCTGGGACTCGCGGTGATTCGTCGTGGTAATCGACCGAGATCACGTCCGTGTGAAGTGCTTCGTCAGGGAGAGCAAACGAATCCACGTGGCCTTGCGTCAGGGTCGCGGTCCTCCCATCTTGGGGCGCATGCCTCGGTGCATGTTCTGTGTCTGCTTTAGTCGTGAGGCCACGACGGGCAGTGAAGCGAGTAGGCACCGATGGATCTGAAATTGTGTGTTTCGGTCGCACGCTTGTGAAGCGCGATCCTCGTACATTTAAAGTTGCAGTAGGAGGATCGGAAATGTACGAGGTCTCGGGATGGGCAGCTTGGACCTTAGCCTCTGCATCGGCATACGAAGTCGTCCGGGCTTTTCGAAATGCCGCTTTGTTGTCCTTCTCAGTCATCCGAGGACGAGTCGCGGATACGCGCCGTGACAGCCGCTCCTGTCGGCGTGCATTTTCGGAAGCCTCCGCTTTACGAGGACCGGACCTGGAGGCAGCTAGAGGAGGAGTTGTGACTTCGAAGTCTCTGTCATTTCCAGACCAAGGGGGATTTGGAGACATCATGTGGTTCTGGTTTAGTCTGCTTGGAGTATATGAATTCCGAGGTTTGAGACCACGGGCAATCTCTACAGATTCATCCCCATCATCTGTCATGTTGTTGTGGTCCTCATCATAGTCTTCTTGTCGGGCGGTGCTCCGCTGGGATACAGGTGAGGTCTGACGACCGAACCGCTTCGCAGTAGTGTGATAGGCGGGTAGATAATTCGTGTCATTATCCATTACACGCGTCGAATAGATAATGCCATCGCTGTCTGTGGGTAAGCTCCCGCTTGTCGTTGAGGATATTTCCAAATGTTCGGGCTGGTCACGTTCATTGAGTTTTGAAGGGGACACGGTAGCGAGAGGCGCGCGATTCGGTCCTCGAGTCTTCTCCAAACTCCGCGAGAGCTCACGGACAAGATGAGAATTGTTGGGTCGGTGAGGAGTGGGCGCCATCATCGAGGTCACTGCGATGGAAACCAGTCCCAATCAACTACAAGTGATGCTCCAATAGAAATTGAACGACAAGGTGGCAGGGACGAGTAGAGACAATACAGATGAACGGTGATAGAGTCTACGCCATGATATCAAGAGACAAGAGGCGAGTATGAAGTATGAAGTGAGAGTAATGAAGCGTGAGGAAAGCCCAATTGCAGGCGGAGGTATGGTGATGGCTGTTGATGTAAACAAAGCTAATCCCAACATGGAATAGCGTCATATCCAACCCCTGCAAAATCCCTTGGTGCCTTGGTGCCTTGGAATCGATCCAGGATCCGATCCGAGCAGAGCTTCGCGCATCTTCATTTTGATATCGACTGGATGATGTACTGGCAGCACTGCACACAGCATCCAGTGCCAAACTTTGCGTTGCACCTTCGGCCATATCAATGGCCCGGTCTCTGATGATATTGTTTAAAACGAATAGACTCCGGGATGAAGGGTCGAAGCTGCTCTGTACACCTTGCCCTGACTACTGGGTAGAGGAGCTAGAAGCAAGTCCTCCATCGCCATCCTATCGGCTTAGTATATTCTATTACCGTTTATCCTGAACTTACCGATAAAGGACAATGCAATTGGAATCTCACAAAAATGTACACTTGAGAGTGTAGGGGAATATTCGAGCAGCACGAGTGTTTTCGTTTTATTCGTCCAACGAAGCGGATAGGGCTTCGAATCTTTTTCGCAATATTGACGTCATCACCACTGTTGCAGGTATGGATGTATTGCGACGATCAGTGACTTCAACGGAAATCCAACCTCTTCCACTTTGTACAATAAGCATCCTGTCGCGATACATGTTAATCATACATTTAATCCTATAATTGCGTTTTCTCGGACATCAATCGAGGTCAATTCCATCAGTCCAACGTAATCTCACGAACGTATCGCGACCTATCTCGCATTCAAATCCCACCTCCAGCCGTTAATAGCCATCATGTTACGATTATCTCGACGCCTTCTCCTTTCCCGCAACGCCATCCACCCCCCTCCATCCTCCCACACCCGCCCATTCCACCCCGCCCCGCTACGCCTCTCCTACAAAGACGACCAAGACCGCACTACTCTCAAACCCCACTCGACCGAATACACCGGTTCCGGCACCGACGACGAAGCCGCACACACGGCCGAGGCCTTCGACCCCTCGGATACCTCCCCCGAGTCGGAGATCAAGCGGAAGAACGGGACCGGCCGAAATAAGGACGAGTTGGATGTGAGTCCAGGGAATAAGGAGCTGAGCGATAGTCAGAAGAGGTGGATTTTGAAGGAGGATAGCGCGAGGGCGGCGGGGGAGAGTGATACGGGGCCGAGTAAGTCGGGAGATGCGCCGAAGGAAGGGGGGGGGCAGTATGGTGGTTAGGGTTGGGGATAGACCACTCGTTGCCAAATGTCACGTAGCTAAGGGGATATTGGCTTGTCGAATTGCATTGGGTATTTTGCATTAGTGTCTCAAAGCGTATGTTTCTCCCGATGTTATATTTTCTCTACTCTTACGCTAGCTTCTCAAACCATATAAATTCACCTCCCACCGGCGGCTCATACGCCAGGCCCAAATGTGAAACCTTTCCCGCCGCGGACACCTTGAATCCCCCCTTTATCCCCAGTTTTTCCAGCGTCGCACAGGGTGTCATGCTCCCGGCGACGGCCCAGACCAGGAAATGTTCCGCGCCGATGTGTTCAAAGGAGAGGGAATGTGCCCAGGTCCGGTCCGTGATGTTCGCTACGAGGATTTTCTCGTCGACGGCATCGAGCCAGCTCGGTCGGTCACGGATTTGCAACGTGATGTTCTGGTAGCCTGCGTTGCGGTACGTTCCGGAGTAGGAGGCTAGAGGTAAGGGTAGGGGAATCCTCCGATCTCCTTGCGGTGCATTCGGGAAGAGGTGTGATTTGGAGTTGTTCCATGCATCTTTCGCCCCTTGTATGCTCTTGTTGGCTCGAGCGATCCAGTCCACTCTTTTACTTGCCGGGACACCTAGTAAATCATAGATCATGGTGTACACAATCCTGTCTTGTCCGAATGACTCGAAGCGATCTCCATTCGACATGAGAGCGGCACCCCAAGACAGCTCGGGGATATATATCATGGTTGTCGAGAAACCTGTGACGAGCCCATTGTGGCTGAACACTTCAAGGCCCTCGAAGATGGTGATGAACTATCCTAAGGAGTAAAGTTGAGCCTTGAATATGCCATTGTCCGGCGCGGCAACCATTCTCGGGGTCCTTAGGGCGGTATAGCTTTCTTCTGACAGCACTCTAGGGTCCATTTCGGACATGGCGCGGAGCCACATGTTCGTCACGGTTTCCACGACGTGGGAAAGCGTGATGAACATCATGTTGCAGTACTGCCACTTCGCCCGGATCTCCGCAGTCAGCGGAAGGTGTCGCATGTGCCGAACAATGTCTCGCACAGTCCAGTTCGGACCCCCGTAGCTCAGGTCGTGCCGTGGCATGCCCGTTTTATGGGATAGAGCATCCTCGAGGGTAACATGAAGGCGGCATACTCGTCCTGAAGCACGAAATCATCTCTGATCAGGCTAGATATCCTCGTCGAGAGATTGATGGGATCCGACGTATCTGCCGTATCTTCTATCACCTTCATGATGGACGCCGCAACGAAGGATTCAGTCGTGGGTCTGGTATAGAAAAGCGTCTCCGGTGTACAGCTCCTGCTAGTAAATTCGGCCATGCCATAAAATTGGGAGAAAGTATCGTTGCCATCAATGACCGCAATGGACACAGCCGGCATATGGAAGACGTCAAGCGTCTCCTGCACGAAATGATCGAAACGTTCAGTGAAGGGGTTCCGGTTAACTGACTCGCGGTTCAGCAGAGGGACTTGAATAGCACATGCAATAAGGACAAGAGAATATACGACTAGCAATTGCTTTAGACGCATCGGGACTGGAAAAATCGACTCCATTATGCTATACGGACGAGACATCAGAAACAGGAGACCGTCATACAAATCCCATCAATATGGAAGAGTCCATGAGGTATCCTAATACATAATTAAGATTGTCGAAGACTGAGGAGCCATGAAGGCTAACGAAGCTTTGGTCACCAGCCCGTGTGTTTTTTTGAATTGTTCAAGTGCTTGCGTAAGTCCCCGTCCTCTTGAGTTCCCGGTGTCGAGACCGGCCCCAGATCGGGTCAAGACTCAAGTGAAAGATGATATATAGCTGACGAAACGCGCTCAATGCATTAGATATTTCCTCCTAGGTTGGTCACCACAAGCTATTACAGCGGAAACTGGCCTAGGAGTTTCTACTATCTACCGCTATCGTGTATATCTTGTTCGATATAGCTCTCTTCGTGCCCTATACCGCCGGAAACGGGGCCGTCCTTGTTTATTGTCGCAAGTAGACGAAGACGCGCTCTTCGAGAAACTACTCCAGGAAGGGTGGCTATATCTTAATGAACTTGTATTCTGGTTGGATATGGAAAGAGGCGTACACGTTAGCGAGTCTACGGTATGCCGCGTGATTAAGCGGAGACGCTGGTCACGAAAAAGAATGAGGTGGATCTCGCGGAATCGGTCACAAGAGATGCGGGAAGCGTATTAAGCGGAGCTTCGTCAGTTTGACGCCGATGATATAGTCTTTCTTAACGAGTCGATCTTCAATGAGAAGACGGGCTGGAGATACCGTTATTATTCGCCCATTGGGCATGAATCCCGCGGTTTTAGGAACATGCATCGGGGAAAGACTTGGGCTGCTATCGGGGCGTATACGATCAGAGGCTTAATTGCCTATGGTATACGCCAAGGCTACTACAGTCGAGAGCATTTGATTGAGTGGCTACGGGATGTCCTGCTTCCGTCTTTGGCTAGAGACTCTCCTCGTCCACGCGTTATCGTACTTGATAACTGTTCGACGCATGTTTCAGAGGATGTTATAAGGCTTCTCGAGGAAGCAGGACATCTTGTACGTTTTACGCCACCCTACTCCTCAGACTATAACCCCATCGAGATGGTCTGGTCGGTCCTTAAAGCTTGGATTAGACGTAATCACGTCTACACGCGCCATCTATGTGGCAACTTTGGCGAGTTCCTCGACTTTGCTATTACGCGTAGTCAATGTGACCGCTTTGGGCTCGAGCATTTTGTAAACGCAGCTCACGGGATCTATATCTCTGACCAGCGATATGATGAGCTTCGTGTACAACTCCGTGGGTTTGAAAATGGGAGGGTAGGGTATTAGGAGAATATTGTTCTCGAGGACGACGTTCTAGTCTATAACGATATTAACGAGCGAGTAGTTAATAATAGTGAACCCTTCTAGGAAGATGAGGAAGATGAGGAGTAAC